TTATCCATAAGATAAAAAAAATTTCATCTTGAAAGAAATGAACTAAAATAATTGGTACATCATCTGTATTTAATAACCTACTAATATGGTCAATTGAATCTTTACCTAATTTACCTAATTTTATTTTATCTTCATCTATATAAGGCTCCGGATCCTTATAAAATAGCCTATATGACACTTCTACAAAAAAAATTTCATATAAACTTTTATCACTACCAGTAATGTATCCAATCACATCACCAAATTTTCGAACTCCACGATCTTTGACTGAAAGACTTTGAGCTTGATCCTAGCATTTAAAAATTTTTGGAGAAATAAAATTAATAATAGAAGACAGAATGTCATGAGTGAAAGTTGATTCTTTTATTAGGCTCGATCTTTCTTGATAATATCAATTCACCTATTTTTAGTTTAACATAACCCCTCAATTTTTTAAATTTATATATAATATAATACACATGTTATTAACCAATCAAATTGCAATAGTTTTTAAAATTTTTAAAAATTTTTACAGCCAATAGAATTGCAGTGTTTTTTTTATATTCTAATTAGTAATGTGAACTATTTAAATCTGGATAATCTAAATATATAAAATCAAAATCCGTATAATATGAATTATACAAAATCAAATATAATTATATATCATCATATCCATACAGTATGGATATGATAATAAATCTTGAACTTGTCAGATACAAAATTAAGCTTTTTAACATAGAGATCAAGAATCAAAAGTAAATATGAATCAATATTATCATTTTCCAGTAAAATTGTATAGCTTAATATAATGTTTCGTTAACTTTATCTAAAACTCCAATAACTTGTATAGGCTTGTCTAAATTTATTCTTTTATTTGTACTTTCCTCATTATCATTAATATCAAGTTCAATAAAAATATTCTTAATAGTTTCAATATTTATTTCTTTTAATAGCACTAATGTGGATTTAAGCATATTAGTAATTTGTATCATTATAAGATTTATTGTACTATAAGTTACATAATTACTACTATCAAGATATGTAAAAAGGATCTAAAACAGAAATTAAATTATGAAACAATTCCCATTCATTATTTGTCATCATAATCTTAGTTAAAATTTTAAATATTTTTTAGAGTCTAAATTTGTATTTTTTAATAATTCAATTTCTAGTAAAAGAATATATTTTTCTAATTCTAAAAGGTAACACCATACTAGATAACTAGAATTCTAGCATGTTGGTATTTTTGCAATTATATGTCTTAGATATGTTGATGTCTTTTTAGTTTTCAAATTATAATATTTAATTGCAATTTTTATAAGTTATACAAAATTTTTATAGTATATAATTTTAATAATTTGAAAAATATACTATAGATTGTTTCTTAAAATATAAAAATAAATATGTTTAGTATTAGTAAATAAATATAAAAAAATTACTAAAATAATATAATAAAATTTATAAACCTCATTTGATCTAATATCACTTTTGAATATCTTCTAAGTGTTTAAATTGCTTTGGTCTTAAAAAAAAATCAATTATTCACTTAATATGACCAATTAAAAACCTTAAATAGTTTTAATCCTTTTCTAACTACTAGTTGGAGAGTATGTACTACAAATAGTTGTCAATTTATATCTTCTGTTACATATTTTAAATCTTTAATTGCCTTTTGTATGTTTTTTTCTATTATTAATTATTACTGTAAAGACTTTATCATGTAATTCTAATTTATCTAATAATAATCATGTCAGTATTATGTCCTTTTCGGGTAGAGCCGTTGACCCAACCTGCTAGATATTGGCATCATCTCAAGTTACGTGATTTTGTGCATGGATCTGAAATTGTTTTTTATAACTGTCAAGTGTAGAGATGTGATCCGTTATCCATTTTCCTATTTAAAAATTTCGAATATGCAGATATCAGGATTTTTTTATAAAAATATTATT